ACACAGCATGACCGGCTGCTCTTTCTCTCTGCTTCCTTGTACACGTGCTTGACATGCACAAAACATAAGGCCTCTCTCACTCTCTTTTTCCCCATCTCTCTCTCTCGGTGAATAATCGGATCACATACCACGGGTCGGGGGAACATAAAAGAAAGAATTAGACGAGAGATTGCTATTTCCATGGATTTTATTTTTCTTAATTGAAAAAGCTTGTCTTTAAAGTTTGAAGACTGACATAAGACATAATTGAAGTGAAATCAGGTGAACCAAATGTGAAACTCTTGGATAATGAACTGAATGGTACTACTGACTGGGAAATGATATTGATTTCTAGACAAAATAACTCTATTTCCTCTAATATTCTTTATGGCTACTTAGAATTTTAGTTACTGATACCATTCTATGAAGTTTTTAGGCACTTTAAACTGCTTTCTACCTGGGTGTAGATACCTGCATGTAGGATTTTCATGACATGCAACAGCTGTTGAGAAGGGAAAAATGGCATCTTCATTGTTGCTGTCTATTTTTTTTTCTAGAGCCTGAATGTTCTAGAGTCAACAGGCCTTTCTTGGGAGGTCAGGGATTGATAGAATCCACATTTAATCTATCTCACAGTAAAGATCTTGACAATAGTTAATGTTGTGTGTTTTCTGTAACTCCATGGTCTAGTCTGAAACAGGTTGCCTTCCATTTTGTTATTGGTTTTGCTAAAGGATATTCTTGCATTTCCTTCTCTTGCATGGTCTTAGGTAGTAAGACAGTGAGAGCAGAGTTTGCGCATTCAAGGAGGGAATGTGACACAGCGAAAGACCAAAGTTGGTAAAATCAGAATAATAAGGGTCAACCCTAAAACACATGAAAACATCCTTTAAATACTAAAAAATAAGCTGAAAACCCTAATTAGACAAGAAATAATTAAATTACAAAATAATCCAAATAAAACCAAAACTAGAAAAACTTCTGAAGGCCCAAACACATGTTTAGGGCTCATCGTAGGCTTTGATTTGATATATTATGAGCCCCGTAACTCCAAACGGATCAAAAGTTATGGTCAAAATAATGTCCTACGCAGGTTGTGTCATTCCCCTCCACAACGGGGTCTACCATCTTTTCGCTGCTCTGTTAACTTAAGGTATCTCAACGTCATCATCATGTCATCTGATAACTCAGTGTCCTCTGACTCAGATCCTCCTGTATCAGAATGGAAATTGTCGAGAGGTTGGAGAAGGTTCAGAAGTCTAATTTGGAATTGGTGGCATCGTTTAGTGGTGGGTGGCAGATGAGGATGTCAGTTGGGAAGATTTTGCTTCAGATATATCATTGTGCTTTAACTTCCTATTTTGTTTGAATAATTTGACCGATAGTTTCAGAATGTTTGAGTCTATTGATGCATAAGTGCGTTTGTACTTGCTTTTTTTGCAATGCTTTTGCAAAATTCTAATTCATAATCAAGAAATGATGTGAGAATGAATTGTTGCTTGTCATTTCCTTAGCAAATTTGATAATGCTGTGTTATTTGCAAAAGCTGTTACTATGATTGTAGACTGAAGTTCGATATCGCCACTAAATTGTGCTTGCTCAATTAGATTATTGCCAATATGTAATTGCAAAGGCAGCATGGATCGAAGCTCAATTTGTAGCCAGGGAGAAGCAGCAAAAGGAAATTGAGCAGGCAAAAGATTTAATAAACAGGTCAAGTGCATGAGCAAATGCTGGTCGTGCATCCACTGCAGAAAAGATGTTTTATTACCTACACTACTAATAATATCAAATAAGAACTCTTAACAGTGAAAAATTGTGAAGTGCAGTATGATTCTTCGGCAACGTTATATAAAACAGTTTTGTTTTGCCTGCAAATCTCTGTTTGTTAAAAACTTTCACTAATTCTCACACAGTAGCACGAAGACTCAAAAATTACTCTTGTTTCTAAGGCATGCCGCTCTAATGAAACTGCATGGTCTGAAAAACCATCTGTGTTGATGCTCAACTTTGCGTAACAAATTTTAAAAGGAGTTGCTATTTCCTTATCATAATTTGCTTGTTATCCCCTATTTGTGATACAATCTCTTAAAACAACAACTCTCAGCTGCTTAGCCCATGAACGAAGAGTCCAATTGTTACAAGGGCAGTTTTGTTTCTTGTAAATTTTGGTGAATATCAATAAAAAAATTTATTTTCCTTAAAAAAAAAATAGGACATTCATACCTAGTTGTTATAAAAGCATCACAATCAAAGGATGTTTTTACATATGCTTTATGTGTTTTTGTTTACACTCAAAATTATTAAAATTAAAGGATGACATGTAAAAAAGGTTCGATGGTCATGAAGAGTCTGTAAAAGGCTATGATTAACAGAGTTTCAAAGAAGTAAGACTCTAAGAATCTTGAAAATCCGGAAGATGTGACATCATAACTTGTCAGTTGGAAGCAATTCATCACAGATCTACTTATCTCGAGGGTTAAAGTCATGACCGAAAAAGATGACTTCGATAGTTGGAGACCATCCCTATAAATAACAGTGACCAAACCACAGAGAAAAAAATTCATCAATCCAGTGATCTTTTACTTTTTTTTATTTACTACTAAGTAGTACAATATTTGTTTTATCTTCTGAATTTAGTCTATTTGTTATTTTGTGATCTAGTGGGTTTCAATTACGTTGTTAGTTGAAAAATTATTTAAAGTCTTTAAATTTTGATGCACATAAAAGAATTCAAATATAATCTTACGTTTCGTTACAATCGTATGAAAAGTCACAATTTTTAGAACCTCACACCAGTTCTAATAGGTAAGATCAAATATGTTTGGATCTTAAGTTCAATTAGACTTTAGCATGTCCGCAATTAGAAAATACGCCAAACAATTTTATAGAGTGACTTTTAGTTGTACACATATACAAATAAAATTGAAGAAAAAATGTATTAGACCGATTGATACTTCTCGTTGTCTCCACCTGGAAGGATTATTGGTCTTCCGTTTTAATGGAGGGTTGCATTGTGACCCTTGAATGTTGTGTTGTTTAATAAGATTAAGGAGCACGTCATTAGATTAATGCACAGTGTACCACCGAAAGCAACAAAACCCCTTTTTGTGATTTCTTTGGCTTCCACGCTTTGTGCAAGGCAGATCAATGAATGATATTGGAACTCAATAGGACCAAGTTACCCCTTTTTTTTTCTTTTTTTTTTTGTGGTTGAGAAACACAAAGGGGTGGGGGTAAGGAAGAGTGTCCAACAATTACCTCGATAGGCCCTCACCGGTGAAATCATAAGGTCTCTGATCGCGCCTGAAACATCTCTCAGAACCAGACTTAACTAGGTTAGCGTAACGGCCAACTACCACACTCCAATGAACCAGACCTAACTAGACTAAGTCACACCCTTTTACTTTACTTTATTATGGACTTATGCCCAACACGCATAGTTTCCCCATGGCGTGGCGTGATAAGTGACTAGTGATTGTCGGGATTGTCGTCGACCCTTTGCACATTTGCTGGACACATATCTGAGACTCTCACATTGTGCGCTTCATGTAACTGATGAATGCTCAAGTGTTGGGGCCGTAACTTGTTCAAATACATATTTAATTTTCTTATAATTAGATTTGTTTATTTTAGAATCACATAATAACAATGTGTCATATATAAGTTGTACTTAGTGAGTTTGTATCATATTTGGTCAGGTTCGTGTTTATTATTTATTTAATGAATTCAATTATTAAACCCTCGAACTTGTTAAACTTAAATTGAATTCTATTAATTTATATCATTTTAATGTCGAATTCACACATCTTGCCTAGAATTGCAAGTCATATTTTTGAAACATCACACTAGGCTAGGGATTGACCCATTTGTCGGTTAATAGGTCTTTAAGTTTAGTCACATAATTCTTCTAAACTCCCTAACACTTTCGCACTCCGCTTACGAATTCACTTTCCGGGAGCGAATTTCCACTCTCATTTTATAAAATTTGCAAATTCAAATTTTGAATCCATGAATTCTAACTAATTCATCCTCTTATTTGTTTATATACTCATTATTACTCAAATTTTTATTTGGAAAGTATTGATCCGGGCTTAGAGATACATATTAAACTAAAATAATGTTTCTAAACTATAATAGTTATTTAGCAAAGTATAATCAACATATATTTAAAAATTAAATAATATGATTCATAGTTGTGCATGGAATTTAATTGTTTATATTTTATTTATATTAAATTGTTATGGGTGAATGTATATCTATATGAATATAATATGATGCTTTCAAGACACTCTCACTATCATTTTTTTTTGGATGTTGACATTTTTGCCCTCCCACTCCCGCTGTATGTGATCTAGTTCTCTGTGCGTGTGCCTTTGGATTTGGCTGGCCTAGATACAGTGTCTGTTTGATTTCTTCTGTCAATCTGTGATTGGTCCACCCCCCCCCCCCCCCCCACCCCCACCCCCACCACAACAACCAAACCCCAATATGTATATGCACATCAATTGACCAAGTATCAAAAATTCAACAGTAGCTCAACCACCAAGCTAACCCACTTTTAAGGTTTAGTACATCAAAGAAATTTGTATAATAAGGTTCTTGTATGAACTTATTGATAAAAACTTTAAATAGAATATTGATGGCACTGATCAAACGACAGGAAGATGAACCATTGTTAGATTAGAGCGTTTGAATCGGTCAATAATTTTGTCATGAATATGCATATAGCATTGAGCCACGACATAAACATGGCAAGTGTTGCGTTTGAACTCTATGGAATAGTTGTTGCTTAAAATCTTCGAGCAAAGATGAAAGCTCCACCTTCTTTGCCCCAACTCTATATTCGAGTAGATTCTTATGATCGAAAAAGCATAAATATTAAAATTCCAAAAGATACAGAAAAAATGAAACAAATCGTGGATGGTCTGACTTTGATCGGACCGGAAAAAGGATCAATCGAGGTGAATATAAGTTAACTCGGACACCCCTGACCGTCGAACAAAAAACATATATATATTGCAAGATTATTAGTGGTCAAATTGAAAATATATAAAATTAAAGGCCTCCAATCTACTAACTTCCAGCAAAAAGCACAACTTAAAAAGGGTGAAAAAAATTTAAAATAATGTGATTGCCAAGCAGATCAACTGGCTTTTTTATCTTTCTTTTTTCTCATTATTTTCACTTTTGAGGTGGGTTTTGAGGCTTGGGAATTCCACAAGCTATAACCCAGAAGCCTTTCTTTATTCAAGGCCAAGGCCCAGTATTATTGTTCATCCAACACTTAATCCATTACCCTATGGTTTATCCGAAGCCTTCATGAGAAGCCCACTTCCGAAAACAACGAACCCGGCAGCATGACCCAGAACTGCGGCAATAAACACACCGCCATTATAAGACATTACCGCCAGTATCACCATATACGCGAATCCAGCCCGAATGACATGGAGACCCGTCCTGAACAGACAAGAAGCCACCCGGTTGGACCCGGGTTTGATCAGATTCCAGTGGGAGAGCATTTCAACGAGCACAGCCAATCCAAAGACGAAGATCAAGGACAATGCGTACATGCCCGAGCTAGAACCGGGCCAACCCGAGAACAGGACTTCCGTGTTCTTGCCCCAGGTCATGTGAAAGAGATTTGGCTTCTGGTGTGCCTGGTTGCCACCGTGTGGGGCTTTGAACAGCCCCGCCGGTGGTGGTGGTGGTGGTGTCAGTGGTGGTGAACGTCTTATGTTGTGGTGGATTGTTACAGCATTTGGGTTCATTTTATATATTGTGGCTTTGGGTTGTGGAGCTCAGGTAGATGATGATGATGATGATGAGAGAGAGAAAGAGAGAGAGAGCAATGTAATAGTAGGAGTTTTACCGACATGAAGATGCTTACTTCTTTGTACGTAGGGCCTTTAAAGTGGGTGGTGGGATTTGATTCTCGAAGCTTTTTCTTATTTTATGAGAAGACAAGGAGACAGGAATGTGCTATCACTAGTTCGCAAGCAATCTCCTGTACTGTCTGTACACATTTCGATTGCATGTAGCTTTTAGATTTATTAATCTAATTTTATTGTACTCGTTGAATTAGAAACGAGTTTTAATATTTAGTAGAATTCATTGTCAATCTAACAACTAGATTAAATTAATATATTAGATTAATAAATTAAATATGAATAGCATTACTATTTATTAATTTTATAAAACTTTTTGAATATTCAGAGATTTTCATGTACTTATTAGAAAGGTTTGTTTGTCATCAAATTTATAATATAAAATATGATAGATTTTAATAAAAAAATTATTCAAATTGCATCGTATTTTTAAACACAAGTTATCCCTAATTATGGAGTAAATATTGAATGCAACGGTAATACCATGTCACGATTGATGACATAGTATCACCAACCAATAATAAAACTTCAAATGAGCAAGGTGAACCCTACTTGGGTGTGCATGACAAAAGAGTAGAGAGTTATTTACTTATATAGCATGTTAGTTATTAATTTTTTCAGGGTCCGGTTGTTTATTTAGTTTAGTATTATTGGTTGGTGATATCATATCACATTGTCACATGGTATCACCGTTGTAATAAATAATTTCTCCTAGTTATGGCATATTTTGGAACAAAAGTAACTTCATGTAATATATATATATATATTAGGGATAACCTATGTCTGAAGGCACAGTGCAATTTAAAAAAAATCGAGCTCTAAATTTGGGCATGAAATAATCAAGCATTGAACTCCAATGCGTACTAAGTTGATGCCAAAACTACATCTTTTAACACACTCGCACTTTACATCTATCAATATCATGATATACTAAGCTCTTTTTTGTTTCGTATTAAAGAAAAATTGAAATCAATGTAAAAAATTTTAAAATTTTCAACAAAATATCTAATGAAAATATGACATTACAAATATATTAATCTTTCTACAAAAATTCATAATAATGCCAACTTTGTTTAAACACAAATTTCGCTAATTGACTAAGAAAATCATGATAATTAAAGTCATCACATATACATGAAAATTATAAGATTTCATTCATCGCAAACCACACTAATTCTCATACGATGCCAAACAAACTCTTCCAATCCAAACAAACTCTCTTAGAGTTTATCAATGCCCCTTTAACTTTTTGTTTTGTTGTCCAAAAATTTTTCAAATCTTTCAACCAATTCAGCCCCGTTTTTCCACAAAATCAATAGACTATGCTGACCCATAGAAAAATCAAAAATACAAATTAGATTTTGCAAATGTGTGAACATGCAAAAAATGCAGATTATCCTACACTTGCCGAATCAACATAAAAAACGTTTTTAAAGCCATTATAGGAATTGAAAACAAAAACAAAACCCACTAAACTAAGAAAAAAAATCCATCACACTAATTTAGCATAATTTGTATTCTTCAAGCATCATTTTCTTGACAACCAACCGAAGCATAAAAACAAAATTACCAAAATAACATATAAACACAAAAAAAAAAAAAAAAGGTACTTGTGGAGACAAAAATTGAGTATCGCACTGAGGAACAACTCAGTCCGGTCTGAGTTAGGCTTTATCAAATCTTTTAGAGTAAAATTCTTAGGGCACTCTAAAGCGGCCACAACTTCCCTAATCTTGTGGAACAAATTCATCATACAGACCGAATCGACATGGAGGTTCGGGTTCTCAAGCTGTTCCAAAGCCGAGAAATTGACTTGCCCATAATCTAACTTGTAAAAATACGAAATACATAGAATTAGAAACCAATTTCGAAAATGGGTTGTTGAAGGAATCAGGGTTAAATTTTTGGGTGAACGTACTGGAGAGAGTCGATGTATATGAGGATTTTGGTGTAGAGGTTGGAGATGAAGTCGGGGTTAGGGCTTATTATGTCGGCTTTGGAGACGTTGGCGATCTGGGATTCAGCAAGCATGAGGGTATGGGTTTCGCATAGAGAGGGAGGGGGCTGACAGCTTGCGTGTGTCAAGCGCCTGTGTATTGGGATGTATCGATTAACGTTAAGAATGAAATGATGGGAGTGAGAAGATGAATTTGAAGGAAAAAATATATGTAGGATAAAAATTTAAATTCTCTTCTGTTTTATTATATAGATATATTTGAGTGTGAAAGCTTGAAAGGTATTTTCCCTTCAAATATTCAATTTTGGAAAGACAAATTTCATGTATCATACAGGATGACTGCTAGTTGGCATAAATACCAAAGCTCTCTCTATCTCTCTCTACTTGGCTTGGGCTACCCAATGGCCGAGACCCGCTTCCTAATCATTGGACTATTAACATGAAAGAAATTTCTAGACCATTACTAGAGCAAGAGTAAGTACTTCCTTTTATAGCGACTTCTCTTTTTTTTCACACAAAGATTGTAATAATCTTATCCCCTTATCTCTATTTTTGCAAACGGCCGCTCGAATTGTGATATTGAGAAAGAGGATAGATCATAGAGAGTTCAACAAAAATAAAACAAGAAAATGGATTTGTTAATGCGCAACGCCTTTCGTGTTAGTTCATTACTTGTTATTTATGAGCCTCTAATTCTATTGTAGTCAAAATTCTTTTCTCCAGCGAGATCAATCAGGTCAAAAATCGCGTTTCCTTCAAATAATTCAAGCAATTCCGTCAATAAAAAAGTCAACTTATTAAACATTTCATTATATACAAACTCATGAATATTACAACCAATTTCCCAGATTTTTATACATTAATCTAAACAATTATAATAGTCTTAGCTTCCATTTCATTTTTTTTTGGTTCAATAATCAAAGGTGTCCGAACCAACTTACGTACACCTCGACTAATCTCGTTTGTAGTCCGGTCAAAGACATCCACGTTAAGACTAACATATTCATGAGTTAACTCATTAATACACATCGTTCCCTGATTATAATACATTAAATTTAAATCTTAATAATTTTTTAATTCTAAACCATTATATTTATAATTCATCTTAATTACAAGTTAAGTTAACTCGGTGTTACCCTCCATGTCATTTAACAACTAGCAAGAAATGCGATTAAACCAGAAGAAGCAAGAAATGCTAACTTTAAGAGAAATTGAGAGCGCCTTTATTCATAACACTATGGCTTTTTTGTACTTAGTAACATGACGACAGCTATAGTTATAGTCCGGCAGGCGCTGTGGTCCTCTCTCTCTCTCTCTCTGAATCATTGAATTTAAGCCTTCAACCAGTTATTTGAACAGTTTGACATGTTGGCGTTCCTTCGCTCTCCTTTTGGGAACAGTGACAGTAAGCACTCCATTCTCCATTGATGACTTCACTTTCTCAGCTCTACCATTCTCAGGCAGCCTTATTGCACGCAAGAACTTGACACTGCTACGCTCCACACGGTGCCACTCACCATCTTTCTCTTCTTTCTCTGTGTTGCTCTCACCACTTATCTTCACCACTTTACCATCTTCCACCTGCACTTTCACTTCATTTTTGCTGAGCCCTGGAAGTTCAATCTTGAAGACATGAGCCTCTGGGGTTTCGTTCCAATCGATTCGAGCATTGACGAACGATGTGGTTTCAGTACTGGGGAAACCATGTGGTGCAGTACTGAGAGAACTTTGAAAGTGGAAGTCCTTGAAGGGATCCCAATCATCGAGAGGGAAATTATCATAGAAATTTCTTCTTCGGACACCAAAGCTGGGAGTAATTGACATTTTTGCTAGCTTATAATTTTTGTTAGAAGAAAAGGCTAGGCGAAGAGGCAAGTAATGAACAAAATGCTGTGGCTATTGCACAAGTTTAACTGTGTATTTATAGGGAAGAATGGGATGAAAAGTTAATTTTTTTTTATTATCTGTATGATGAGATATTTGGGCATCTTGCAACACCACCATTAAATAGTAGGGTTAATCTCATTTTACATTCCGAAAGATTGTTCGAATCTCAATTTATACCCTCAAAGATCAAAAATCTCAATTTACACCCTCAAAGATAGAAATGTGTATCAATATGCACTTCCAAAGATAAAAAATCTCAATTTGCATCCTCAAAGATAGAAATTTGTATCAATATGCACCTAAAACTAAATTGATAAATTATACCTAAATCCCCTCATACTTGTCACTTAATCATTTAGACCTCTTCACATTTAGAATATTACTCTTACATCTTATGACATTTGTGCACGTATAACACGTAACCCATTTTCATTGATATCTATTAATATAACCGTTAAAAAATATAATTTTATCCTAATAAAAAATTATAATTTCATATTACCATTTATTTTATGGGTTCAATATATTCTAATGTTCAAAATCCAGTTTACCATTTGAATGTCTAATAAAATGTAAATATTTATATAATATTTTTCATATTACCTTTTATATAAATATCTATATTTTATTAGACATTCAAATGGTAAGTTTGATTTGCAACTTTAAAGTATATCGAATCCACAAAATAAAAGGTAATATGAAATTATAATTTTTTATTATGATAAAATTATATTTTTTAACTATTATATTAACAGATATCAACGAAAAGTGGTTATGTGTTACAGAGACACAAACGTCATGAGATGTAAAGGGAATATTATAAATGTGAAGGAGTTCAAATGATTAAGTGACAAACATGAAGGGATCTAGATATAATTTATTAATTTAATTTTAGGTGCACATTGATACAAATTTTTATCTTTGAGGGTGCAAATTGAGATTTTTTATCTTTGGAGATGCACATTGATACAAATTTCTATCTTTGAGGGTGTAAATTGAGATTTTTTATCTTTGGGAGTACAAATTGAGATTTGAACAATCTTTTAAGGTACAAAATGAGATTAACCCTAAATAGTATTATACTATATTAAACGGAAATATTACACTTTGATCCTTCAATTATGTCCCTTAGTTTATATTGACTCATCAACTATCACATTTCTCATATTTCATGAATTTTTAAATATAGTTATTTATTTCACAGTATCTCAATTTTAGACATTGAAAACATGTATTTTACAGCACATGTTGAGATTTCCATCTAAAACATGACAGACAATTGATTTTGGGTCACTGTGAAATTAATTTAAATAGTTGATGGGGGCAATGGGAGAAACTCAATAGTTAATGGGAAAAGGTGATACTAGGGCAAACTGTGTACATTTTGAACCCCCTCCCCGCCCCCCTAGCTATGTTTCATACTTTACATTACTCCTTCAATTACTATGTTTCTCATATTACACTTTCAACAATAGTTATTGATTCATATTCCCCTCTCAACTATTATATCTTCATATTCTACCTCAAATTATAGTTATTAATTTTACATAATTGCAATTGTAGACATGGAAATTTGTTTACTACATAATTGGACATTTTCTATCCAAGATAGGGTGGACACTTGGTTTTGGCGAATGGACGCCGACTACAACGGAGTCGGAAATGTGATTTTTGACTCCTAACTCCATTGGAGTCGGAATGGTTTTTTGTCTCCAATTTTGATTGTCGGAGTCTGACTAGAGTTTCGGATTTGGGGATTTAGGGTTCCACTTTCTTTGATTCTTTTGGCTAGTACAAGAGAAGAACTACAGAGAAAATGATTAACAAGAGAGGGCTTACCAGAACTCCAAAAGACCGAGCTGAAACTGCAAGAGTGGGTGCGACACAAATGAGGGTGAGAGCGAGATTGCGACTCTATGACAAAGGGTGTGTTGAGAGTGATGGAGGCGTGGTCTAGTGGTGATGGAAGAGATGAGGCATGAGACTAGAAAGATAATAAGAGATTAGGGTTGGGTAAAGAGTTTTGATATATATATATATATATATATATATATATATATATATATATATATATATATATATATATATATATATATATATATATTAAAAAGTCATAGTCGAAGTCGGATAATTTTTGGAATGCGTTTTGGACTCCAATTCCGATCGAAATTTGGTACTTTACTTTGACTCTAACAGAGTTGGAATCGGTCTAGAGTTAGAGTCGATATCAAATTTTGGGAAAATTGCACATCCCTAATTTCAAGTAGTTGATCAGGTAATCTGAGAGAAGTCAATAATTGAAGGAACAAAGTGAGAATGGGCAGACAGTTGAGGGGGTTAAAATATAATTTACCCTGTAAATAATTTTCATTTGGTGAGTTACTTTCGAGTTAAGTTTCAAAACTGGTTGAATATCGAATTTAGGATGAAAAGAATAAATGGCTTTGGAACTTTTTCATGGGTGTAGTGCATTAAAAAAATCAGAACGGAAATAGTTTGAAGATTCTTTCTGCCATGGAATAAAGTATCAGAATAAAATAAAGCAGTGGCCACTTCCTAGTGCGAGATATATACAGTGACAGGACTCATGACATACTTCTGCTTCTCTTTTACTCCATTTTCAAGTGATTGAGCTCATTGCTTTTATGTCTCTGTTTACCCCTAACAATACCGAAATTAAAAGGTGACAAATATAAGGTAATCGACGTTTACAAAGGAGTTTGTGAGAATTCACGATTGACAAAACGGTTAAAAGAATAAGACTGTTATACTCCGTTTGGTAGGAATGATGAAAAATATGAATGATACATTTTCTATCATTTAAGGATATAAATAGGGATATCAGTGGACCGAAGCGGGGACAGAGAGTGTAGTCTTCATCCCGTACCCGCTTAAAAAAAATTCATCCATCTCCGGTCCACCTCCGTTAACAGGTATAATTTTCATCCCCATCTCTGTCCGCGGGTAAATTTTTAATCCATGTCCCCGTACCCGCCTAAGCCTAAGCCCAAATAGCATAATCCAAAATTCTAAATAAATTTAATATTTTAAATAATTCAACATTTTAACATAGTCTAACACAACATAATGTAGATTACAAAATGTAAAAGTCAAAACAATATAATATTCTATTTAAAGTGTCATTGGACCACAAAAAGAGAAATGAAACTCTTAGCAAGAAAGGAATAAAAATAAAATAAAATTGAACTAAGAAAACGATAACACTACACTTAAAGTTTTCTAGAAGAATTTTTATCATTACAATTCATATTATAGCCATAAAGTGTTAAAAGATTAAAACTTAAAATTTCGCTAATTCAATAATTCTCCACATTTCTTAGTTCACTCTAGTAGAGAAACTCAACAATCTTCATTCACAATATTTCTACCCATAATGAAATGCAAAACTATTTTACTCTCTCTTATCTATTTTTAAAGTATGGTCAATCCAAACTCCGAACAGTTTCAATCAGTGAGCACAAATAGAAAAAAGAACAAATAGGAAAAAAAATTGATAAGATTAGCACATAGCAATGTCACTTTTTAGTTTGATTACCATATTTTATAGATTGGTAGTTACAGTAAATATGTTTAGTTAGAGTTTGAAAGTATATATATGGGTAGTGAGGGCCGGGGTAAAGGTAAGTATATCCCCGCCTTCATCCCTGTATGGGTTTATACGAGTATCCATATATTTGTCTACCATCCAATACGTATAGTCCATCCCCGGTTCAAACAGAATCGATTTTGACGAATACTCGTTTATTCCCAGTCTACTGTCATCCCTAGATAGAAAGTAGGAATGATACACTTTCTTTCTTTTATGTTTGGTTCGATGGATGGAAAATAAAAATAACTAATTTTTTTTTAATTTTTTTTTGTGCTGGTTAAGATTAGGGATAACAATCGAATTGTGTCGTGTCAGATTCTTATCGAGTTATAAAATTATGAGTCTTTTATATTTTTTGTTCACGTGTCAGGTCATTTTCAAGTTCGTGTCGAGTTATAATCAAGTTCGTATCATAAAATTCGTATCGAGTTCAAGTCGTGTCATCGTGTTGAGTCGAAAATTAAGATGAAAAAATATTTTTTTTTAATTTAAAATTTTTATTTTTATTTATATATATATATACACACACACACACACATATTTTATCATTGTATTTTTATATGAAATTAATGTATACATAATACATAGACAAATAAGATACATCTTAACACAAATAATTAACTTTTCATTCACTTTATGTCCGATTTTGGAGAGATTGATTTTAGTGAGTTGGAAAAAAAGTTAATCCATCCACTTTTCCATCATTCCTATTTTTCTTCCTTCCCAAACATGATGTTTTATTTATCCCTCTAACTTTTCATCCATCCAACTTTCCATTATACCAAATCGAGCATTACAATTCTAAGAAACGAGAAAAAGTGTGATATCATGAGCCGCCAATTAAAAATAATTCAGCACACATTTACGTATTTTAAGTGACAAGATCATGATCACAAGCAATGACCAAAAAAAAAATGAATCAACAATAAAGAATCATCTCCATAAATAGCAGAGGTCAAACCATTAAGAAAAGATCTCACAATCAAGCGCAAAAACTCTACATAGAGCTAGCATAACCTTTTTACTTGTTTGTGGCTTTCAATTAATTTTATTGTTCTTGTAGTTCATTGTTCCGGCGATCTTTTATTTGCTATTATTTAATGCTAGGTTCAGTGGGTGCGTTTTGCCTTCCAAATTTAAATTCAATGTACTTGTTGCTTTTCTTTCTTGATGTTTTCCTCACAGTGTTGTTCATACGTTTCTATTTGGTAAAATTATTCAAAGTCCTTAAGCTCAAAGGAATAGAAAAGAATCTTGAGATAATCTTACACCTTTACATTCACCTAAACGATCATGATTTTCGAATCTCAAGGTTCAAGTAATTAAAGTCGTACGTTTTTGAATTACCTAAACTTTGATACACCTGCAATCCAAAATTACGTCAAGCAATTTCTAATTAACTTTTCCATCTTACAAAACGGTGACCCATCTTTGGTGATACTACCCCTGGCCATTCTTGCAATCTCACCCGTCGATCTCTTTTGCCTTCCATCAGATCTCTAAGAGCCCAAAAAAAATGACTAGAGAGAGAGTTGAAAAGTTATTCTAGCATAAATATACAGTAAAACCCGAGTGATAAAAGACTGCTATTCTTGTCTGTAAAGGAGGAGTTACTTCAAAATTTGTGATATTCTGGCATGGAGGTAATCAAGAACTCATACACAAAAGCTATTTCCCATAGCATGCATTAATACAATGACGCATTCTGATCACAAGTCTATAAATGAAGACGCATGGTGAATACAGATAAACCATTGACCATTAATTTTCTCAAACACATTCGTCGCAAATTGCTTTCCCCGGCTGCTACCCTTAGTCTTAACCATTTCAGTGCAAGTAACATACCCGACATCACCTCCAACGTGAACTTGAACATCCTCAATCTCAATCTTCAGTGGAAATTCATAGTCTGCCCATACATATTCCCAGCTCCCCAATACAAGATCATAACCAGATATGCCACTCACACCAGGGTGCACAACACACACATTATCCCCCTTTGACCATAGACCTTGCATAGAAGCCAGATCCCCCTTCCTGAATGAGTTGTAAAACCGAGCATTTGCTGCTAGTACTGAAGCCTTGCTATCCTCCTGGAGAAGTCGGAGGTTATCCCGGATTTTTGCTGCTTGCGCATAGTTCTCCTCTTCAATGGCAGTCTGTAATTCCTGCTCTAAGGTCTGCTCATTTATTATGATGCTTTCCCCACTTAGTGTTCCCTCTGAGTCCTCACTTTTAACTCGAAATGGCTTCATAAATAGTTGATGGGAAGCTTGTCTGAAGGGAGCTGCACTTTTAACAAGTACATGTTGCTTCTTAGAATATTGTCATATGACATACAAGTATATGTTGAATTTTTGGCATATAATCACATAATCAGATCTATCCATGCAGCATAATATTGGAGAATTAACAATCAAACAAAAACATTTGACACAGCCCAACCAAGGAAATTGAAGAGGATGAAAAAGAGTAGAAATTTGACGTAATTCAATACACATGAATGTATTCCGCAATATCCTGTCAAAGACCAAACGTAGTTTTATTAAAACAACAGAAAATCAAGCAAGTCTACACTTCATTTCAAGTCCCCAAAAGGATTCTCTCTAAGGAGCAATGGGTTGATCTTGAAGAAACTACATGAAATATGCATACTTTGTCCTGTCAAATATGGAACACAAAATATAATCACTGCAAGTGATGATGCCCAAAGTGATACAACATACATATAATTCTCAGGTGGGTGCAAGTCCCGATGCCAACATCCTGATGGGTGCAGTAGATTTTCTGACAGCAAACAAAGAGAACTTACTGAACATTCCAGTACGCAAATTGAGACAGTGGCAACCAGGAGAAACTTTGATCTTGATTTCTCTTTCAAAACTGCCATCTAAAACCAAATTGTGTTGCTTTGGTGAAGCTAAAGAAAGGCGATGATGGATTCGAACATGATTTAGACATGAACATGCCAAGCTACTAAGCTCTCTGATATCAACAACGTTTCCCTACAAATTGAGAAAAGTATGATGAGAAATGAATCTAAAAGGATTGTGAGCAATATGTTATTCATAGGAAGCAATCCAAAACAATAATTAGTTAATTCTCTAATATCACACCAGCTTATGAAAAAATTTCCTCCATGGAAAAAGGTCTAATCTGATGGGCAATCAACCATTCAGTTGATAATCCACTTTCTACATTTGTAAAACAGCGGAATCCTAATTTCCAATACAAATAAGGAATGTTTGTAGTCATCAAGTAAATGCTTAAATTTGATCACCCATCAACTTGTAATGCAATGACGTTTGAAAATCAATCTTAGATAGTATTTTCTTACATTACCAGTCAGTACACTATTCGATCTCCCTTCCACTACATACAATGGAAACAATCATTTGAATTTCTGCTCTGGTCCTCTGGACTCAACAAAACCTTTATCCCAACTACTTGATTTCCCACTCCATGGATTTTACGATCTATCATTATTCATACTCAAACACTTGTTTTCAAATTTTCTCAAATATAGACCTTTTATTTTCCCCAAATCCCATCCAATTTGAATTCCAAATGGCTCCTCAGATTTGAATTCATAACAATGCTTCCTATAGAGCTCATTGCCTAGAACAGTGTTGACATTTCAGGGCTAACAAATGACAGGTTGTAGGTGCCAAGAGTTAGGTCTATACCCAATCCACCACCCTAGCACCCTAACTTAATAGTGACAAAATGGAAAATGACCTTAAATCCATGCCTTCTCTATCACAACTGTAAAAGAACTCTTCCCCAGCAGAGGAAAACAATCACATATACGAACTCAAGTAAAGCAAAATAATAGAAATTCAGAGTAACATTCCATCGTGCAGAACTACAAATTACCTATCATCAAGTGAAATAAAAACATATGAATCCGATGGGATTAATAAGAGACATAGCAAAATAGTACTCACATTGCCAAAAAAACTAGGTTTACTAATCCGAAAATTTAGTGACAATGCGGAAAAAATTGACGCCTCCATGGCCAAAGGGAGAGCGTTTGAATCGTTAACTGCACAGCACACGGATGATGTTATACAATCATGTATGAACACTTTGTATTGAATGACAATCTGGCGGAATTTGAGCTAGGGTTATTACCTGTCAACAAGTCACTGCTCTGAGTCTTCGATAAGGAAGACTTCGACAGTTCGTCTTATCTGCAGAGAGAGCTCACAAGCAATGGGGCAAGAGACAGAGGACAGAGAGAGAGAGTCGTTGAGGACAGTTTTATGAGCTGGAACTGGAAGCTTTGAAAAGGCGAATTGGCCAGAGAATTACAAATGGGCCGGACTGAGGATGGAAGTAGTTACACGGTGGGATGAAATTGGCAGTGTTAGTTGGGCCTAGTTATTGGGCTTGGCTGGGGTTTAGTCCATAAGCAGCTCAAGTCCATTGAGCAGCGGAAATTAGAAACAATCTGACACTCGGTTAGAAGGAGACTCCTAAGAAGAGGATTTGAATTCTATCCTCATCTCTAAACAGTGACAGAATAGCAATCATACCATTGCCCTATTACAAAAACATAAACCACAATATGTGACACTTTGTAAATTTGTCATACCAATGTGTGTCAGACACAATCAAATTGTCACGATTTACAATTTTACAGTTACGACCGACGTGTTGCACATGATCATATTTCGCACAATCATGTTGCTACTAACTAACATGCTGTGTTTTACACCGCCAAACTACTATGACTCACATGCTTAGGGTTTTCCTCCCAGTCTTATTCAATGATTCCCTCACCATTTGATGTTGAGGAGAGAATTTGATTTAGAGCAATTCGGTTGGAAGGGCACATTGTGGTAATGGGGTTTCCTGCTACATATATGTATAAGGTTATAATATGTATAAGCTGTTATAATACCATGAAGGCTATGGCATGAATGAATATCACCCCCACCCGCACCACCACGCCCCACCCCATGTGCTTACTGCTCACCCATGTCAGTTGCCACCACCTAACATACCTGTCTTTTACTGTTTCAGCATGGGTGGGCTATATAGCACTTTGAAGACCTGCCTAAAATTAGTTATAGATCAAGCAATTGCCAACAGATTGACTCAGCAATCTGACTCACTGCTGATTAATTGTCATAACCAAGTGAAAAGGGACTTCAATACAGTATCTAAGAAAAAAATTTGGTACGTATATCTAACTTTTATTACTTTAATAAGAGTTTTTATAACTTTTATACGTTATTGTATAAAAAAATAATTTTTTCATTTTAGTAGGTAATTTATCACTATTGTGAATATTTTTACCCCTTTTCTTCAGTAAACAAAAAAAATTATCATATTTATGGGTGTTTTTACTATTATTGTGGTAACTATTTTTACCATTTTTTGGGTGTCACAATAGTGATAAGAACATCTACAAATAATATGATAAATAGAATTATGGTATCGGGAAAAAAATCGATACCGGAGTGAACTCCAAGTAAAAGACTCATAATAAAATCTTATAACAAAAATTTCTGGAGAAACTTTTGAGCCTCCAAAATAAAATAAAATAAAAGTGCAAGGGCATGTTTTCAATTTGAATAAAGTTTTTGTCAGTATTTTCCCACTATTGGGAAGCAATAATATACAAGGTAGATGCAAGTATGCAACTAATACCAGCTCCAAGGTGTTGAAAAGGTGGATGCTAGAGAGAAGGGTCTCTTGACTGTTCCTTCTTTATGGCAATTGAGATATCTTTACATTCGTGGCAGTTTTCCAATGGAGTTAATATTCGTGGGGACCCCTATTAAAATTCTGAGATCTTGCACACAGACATGATGGATTTTCTTTGGGATATGCTTTCAGAATCTTCTTATATATGCAAACATGTTGATGGATTGATTCTGAGTTGAAGGCTACTGTGGGTGTAATTGAAGCACAGTGAAGGCCTTTCTATGGATCAAAAATTGGTTTAAACGACTATACTCCGTCGTTATTGTCACATGATATAATTTTTTTGTTTCTATTCAATGGACAGAAGTGTTTGGATCAACTTATGTACACTTCAACTAAATCTCTCCTTAGTTGGGTCAAAGACAAACCATTCAAGTTGGGACTAGGAGATTCAAGATTCGAATTCAGAACGTCTGAGTTTACAGCTCATCTTTGTTATCGCTTGAACTATCATTAATTACTAATTACGTCACATGACAATACTAAGGTGGTATAAGCATTATACTGTAATAGAGGTTGACACTCTGCTTAGTGATTGAAACTGGGACTTGGCTACAACTCCACGAGAAGCCGATGCAACCAACAAATGTTGAGTATCAGACAATTTTGCCAACTATTTTACCCATTGTCATGTGTAATTTGGGATGGAATTGGCAAGGATGGAGAGATCAAATTCAGACTCAATTTAATTTATAAAATATTTAATTTAAATTTTATTCAAGTCCAAATTCAATTTTGTATTGCTCATGATTAAATTTTTTTGCTGAACCTTTAGAGGGTTAAGTTGATTTTCAAGTTACACACTTGTGTTGGAATTCAAGTTCAATTTGGATTATTTCATGTCCAATTTAGCTTAAATTTGAATTTAATTCTCTGAGTTATAGAATTTGAGTCATAATTTCAATTGATTCCAAACTCACTAAGTTTGGATTGGATGAACCTTGGTACTACTAAATTTTTTTGATTGGAATAATTCATTAAGGTCTGACCCTAGTATTAAAACTCTCTGGTCAAATACTAATATTCGTGATATATTCGACTTGAATACAGATTGATCAATCCAAATTAGGTTGTACATCTAACGTGCATTTGTGTTTTAGCTAATTAACCTATATTTGTTGATAAAATGCCACATGCCTCAAATTGGTGGGCTACGAATACATATATTAAAAACCAACACCCCTATTAGTGTATTAAAAATCCCAACAATGCTCTCTCTCTCTCTCTCTCTCTCTCTATCTCTCTCTCAACTAAACCCACCATTTGTGTCTCCATTCTCATCACATGGCAAGCACATGCGACGCATCAAAATTGCACCTGCTTACCCGCTAAACAAACAAAATTAGATGACCAAAACGAAAGACCCCAAATCTACTTAAACATCCAGGTATGGGTCTCCATAAATGTAGAGAGACCCATCATCATCCCTATATTTGTTCGCCATCAAACTTCCAAACCTAACACTTGGGCTTCGAGTATTTTGATTATTTTTTTTTCGATTTAATTAAAAATAGATCATTCATGTTAGAATTAGGATATCTCTCATGACTTGGTCTCAAAAGATCGCCAATAATCAAACTCAAGACGTCTGAGTTTTAAAAATTGAGCTATTTAAGAATCTCTTGATATATACTTATTTTCAACTTTTTGAAGTATTTCATTACTTACAATGCCCTTGCTTGTCTTTGAGTAGTTAGATCTCCGCTGTAAATCTTTCCTCGTTTGCCTATTTTTTAAGATAATTCCTCGTAGCGAAGGCAGCTTATCACAAGCACCCCATTGCCTACAGGTCTCACAAATATCCACATAAAAGTTTGTCGTCCAGACTTTGAACCTTCCTTCATTGTCGTCTTTTTCGAAATCTTGTAACCAACAAAACTCACTGTAACTGTCGTGTAGGGTCAGCCCGCCGGCCATAACGACTACTGACCAATGACTCATCCAAATTTAATCCACATGCGTGATCTAGCCGCTGGTTTTTTACTTTATTCGTTTTTAAATATCTGTCGTTTAAGATTTTTGTACAGGGATTAAGAAAATTATTAAATAATTTTAACATGAGTAAAATATAATTGCACAAGACTAAAATATTCTTATTCAATACATATTGGGAAGAAAATAAATTTAAAAGGCGCTTACCCTTCACCAAATCTAATGCATTGAAAAATTAAGGATAAATTTGAAAGAAAAAAATATTAATTATGCTTTGATTTTATTAAACAACGGATATTATAAAACAAAAAAAATTGTGTAAAACGACAGATATTTAAGAATAAAGAGAATATTTATTATAAGCCAATCTATTTAATTGAAATTACGTAAAACATGGTTTTTTTAAATTAACATGGTTTTTTAAATTTTTGATAATGTATGTATAAATGCATGTATAATAAAAAGATTGTTTAATTGGTTTTACTAGAGTACTGATAAAATAAATTTTCTAACATACAAATAGGGGTGTTCACTCTACCATATGGGTAGGAATTATAATATTCTATTTTCCTACTTGATATTTTGTTGAAAATTTTTTTCTTAACTGATCATATTCAATCAAGTATAATATTTCTACTCGAATTTCGTCTAAAACAATCGGGTAAGAAGTCGGATAGTAAATTGGGTGAATACATATTTTTTAGTTATTAATTTTTGGATCATTTTAACAATTTAATTAAGTAACTTGCACCAATTAACTAATACAATAAACTAATAACACTAAAAAAAATACAATAAATTCGATTAAACAATTACAATAAAATACAACAAGAAAGTTATAAACATCAATACATTATATATAAGAAAGTCATAAGCATTAATAAAATATTATGAATTTTAGATTTTAATTTTTAAGGATTAACATATCTATGAGGATAGGGTAGGATAGAAATACAAAAATTTTGTAGGTATTCTGCATTCTCTCCCAATTTTTTTTGAAATACCAAAACATCTTCTGTTGACCTACTCGTTTCTTTCAAATAGTCGATCAATAAAGTCGGATAAGGTAGCGTAAGAACCAGATTTACAAATAATCGAGAATTTAAACACCTCTACGTACGAGGAGTCTCTAAATGGTGGACAATAGGAGTGTTCAAATTTTCAATTGACCACAATTTTCGACCCTTACCTTACCCTACTGAACGGTTAGCTGCAAAAATTGGGTAGGAATGTAGAAGAGTTTTTGGTCTTTCGATTAAATCGAGTAAGAATGCGAAATACCCATCAATTTTCGCATTCTTACCCTACCCGCAAAAAATATATTTAATTTTTTTATATATTTTTTAGTAATTATAAGAGTATTTGTATTATATAATTTATATTATAACATTGTTATTGTTGTGGATGTTTGAATTGTAAAAATATGAACTTATTTTTTGTGTAGGTTACATAATTTATGATGAACTAGTGTAATATTAGAGCAGTTACGACTTTAAAGTGTTTTATATGGTTAAAACTTAAAATAATTATTTGTATTTGTGTAACAATATGATAGATTGATGTTCATGTTTTCTTATGTTTTATTGTAATTGTTATTATAATTGTTTTAGATTTTAATGTTATTGATTTATTGTATTGTTAAATTGGTGCATGCTATTTAATTGAATTGTTAAAATGATCCAAAAATTAATAGCTGCAAAAGTGTTTATCCAATTTTCTACTTGACTTCCTACCCGATTAATTGGGTAGGAAGTTGTGTAGGAATCCCACACCTGATCGGGTAAGGTAAGCCAAGAAAAAATTCTTCCTCACAATATCCGGTAAGAAAACGAAAAACAATATTTCTTACTCATAGAGTTGGGCGAACACCCCTAGTGGATAATAAGTTTTAAGTTTAAGTTAGTTCAAATTTTTAATATTATGATATTTAAGACGGTTAATTAAATTGATTAGATCAAGGTTGAATAAAATTGAAATAATTTAAGAATGGTATAGCCCTATCATAACAAAATGCGACACAATATCAACACAACGCGAGACAATACAAGTTGATGATCAGCTTGCATATACATGCACGTAGGATGGATTATAGATATGTATTTGCATGATTTATTTTTGGATAAATTGCGCATCCATGATTTGAACTACTAAATAAGCTGCAAAGAACCATTAGTCATTTTTTAGAAAATTATAAGTGCAATCGTCGAATTAATATTTCATAAGCTGGGATTTCTTGACACCGTCAAGTTCTAGAAGCTCTCCACTCGGTGTCGTTGACGGTTCCATTTGTTTGACCTTGAATTCAACTTTGACTTTTAATTCAACTTTGCCTACTTTTCCTAAGGCCTTCTACAATTTGGAAAATTTTCAGCGCTCTTTCATACGACAACCATTGAAATATTGCAAATAAATTAAATATCAGCCGTGCAACTTAAATTGTTATTTTTTTATAATTATACAATTTAAAATCAATCAAATGCCATCATTTAAAAATATGAGAGAGACAAGAAAGATATCGAAAGAGATTTTGTTTGGTCTTAGTTAGCGTAAAAAAATATGAAATGGGTAAAATTTTCAACTTCGGGGGAGAATGTGATTGTGATGATTTTAATGCATTGGATTGAGTGAATTTCAACTATTTTTGTATTAAACTAAGCTGGGGGATTCAAAATGAGTTATATTTTTCTTGAATACCTTAGTTTCAGTGTGGATAATTTGTCTTTAACCGGCGTGAGAGAGTTAATTAGTTAACATACATGTAAGTTAGTCCAGACACTCCTGACCGTTAAACTAAAAAAAATAAAAAAAATTATATCCATAACATGTTGGGTACAATTGCATAATGACATTTAATAACTTTTTGGTTTATTATTATTATTTTTTTATTTTTGTTTTTGTTTGTACATTTATTTTGTTGTGAGTTTTTAATTATCTAAAAAAAAAAAATTTTTTTTGGGTAATGATTTTATTTTTAACAGACTAGAAAATTAAAAACATAGCCATTATTGTCACAAGACTATACCCCAATGACACAAGTCTAGTCCCTAGGATTGTGTAACGTCCGCCCATACTATTGGCGCATATTCAAACTAATTTGTTAATAGAGTCATAATTCGGTTGATTCAAAAACATTTCTATTCGTTTCAAAAAATTTAAATTTAAATTCAATCCCAATTATTTGACAAATTTAAATATTACAAATTCAAAATTAAAAAAAAAATCGAAAACCCAATTAAAAAAAGAAGATTAAGCTTTAAATTTTCTTAATCTTAATATTTAATCATTTAATATCATCATTTTACAAAAATGTAAATTTAATTTGGCTCGAAAATTAAAATTTTCGGATCTGAATCTATGAAATGCAACTTATGTATTTGAATTCGAATTTGAGTAATTGCCCAAAAAAGCTAATCTATATCTGGCAATTTAGGATATATTAAAATTTGATATATAGCCATACATAATTAAAAAAAAAACAGAAAAAATTTGAAATGGGTTGGTGTTAAACATTAGAGAATTGTCCGAGTAGGCCACCACACCATGTGGACAATAGATGATTATACTCTATGGTTTAAAATATTGAAGAGGGATTTGAGCGTAAACATGACCACGTGGACCCAATATGGTTGATGATGATTATGGGTGAGTTGTCCAGCGATTGGTTTGTTTGTTGCTATGGATAGATTCGAAGCTCCGACTTTTTTCAAATTTCAAAAAATGTAGGAAGACGACGAGAGGATGGATCGGAGCTCCGTTTAAAAGATTCTCTACTCTCCTGACTTTGGATTCCCCAAACAAAAAGTGATCATAAGGAAGTAATTTGCTTCCCGACAATGTAGGGTTACCTCGGTAAGTCCCCCATTCAGTGTAACCTTTTTCCAAGGCCACCACCCATGTTTTTAAGGACACAAATTTGTTATCGATTGAGTGATTTTGACTCAAAAAATTCATTAAAATTCAATAACAATCCGTCTCACTTGATATAATTAAATATAATAAATAATAATAAGAAAGTTTTTTTTTTATAATTATTGTTTGAACATGACAGTAGAAAATTTATTTTTCAATTCACGATCCAGCCAAAATATGTATGTTTTGAAATTGAGCAATTTGTAGCAATTAATTATAAAAATAATAAAATAAAATAGATTAATAGAATTGAAAAGGTTTTACATACAGCACATTTTTTTTATTATATAAACAAATAGAATACACTAACAAAATATAATTTTTCGATATCTTATAAAGATAGTTTCAAGGATCAAAATTTTAGTCCGAAATATTTTCATTTTTAAGTAGATTGAAACGAATTAGTTATGAAATCGAAATTTTAATATTTTGAGGAATTTTTCATAATATTTCAAAATATTTTGTGATATTTTAATACATTTGCACAATTATTTCGATATATTTCAAGATATTTTGAACAATATTTTGTAAAAATAATTTTTAAAATTTTATTTTCTTCATAATATTTTTGAAATAAATCAAAATATTTTTATTTTTGTTTCCTAAATGACTGAAATAATATATCGAAATAAAATTTTGATCTTTGAATAACCAGTCCGCAGGCCAAAGCCATGAGTGAAATTACAAAGTTATCCACCTCTCACTCTCTCTCTCTCTAAACACGATCTCAATGAGTAGATTTAATTTGATACAAAATGCCGCCCTCTAAAATAACAATTTTAAATAAACACAATCGAGGAGGAGGATATATGCTTTATTACCTCGATTTCTTAATTACCCATTAAACAAAATCTTTAATATTTATTTATTATGAAAAAGAATATAATTATTTTTTTTTTATAAAGCACGGGTACGATTAAGACTCTCTCTCTCTCACTCAATTTCCTCCACTTTTCGCAAGAAGTCGCGTAGCGGCGTTCTTTGTTTTAAAAGCCATATCCCGGTTCCTTTTTCTCCTTCTTTCTCAACTGTCGCTCCGTGTTCAACTCGCGTGTTAGCAGACTCAGGAGACAAATCAAACCACAGAGAGAGAGAGAGAGAAAGGGAACGACTTTTAGAGAGAGAATCGAAGAGACCTAGAGATTCTTATTCTGAGATGGGGAAAAAGTTTTCTACAAACAGAGAGTAGTTGATCGACCGCCATTGTGGCCTCCAATTCCGGAGAAATTTTTCATAATTTTGTATGATTGTCGATTTCGGTAATTAGGTTTTTGTTGAGATCTAACTTCGATCGCGCTTTGAGTTTTTTTGAAAAAACTGTTAGAGCTTTGGTTTCTTCGACGATTCTGCGATTAAAGAAGGCTGTGTGAGTTTTTCATTCGAGGAATCGCGGAATTATTCTGATTTTCGACGTTGAAGCTGGGATTAATCTGTGGATTTGGAAGAAATTTAGAAATTGAGAGAGAGAGTTTAAGACGAATGATGTGGACCTTAATACCAGTTGGTTGGTGATGTAGTATGGGCCTGGTTGTCACACGCAAAGAAGATGTCTCTTTACATTAGTCGCGAGGCTTCCAAGGTTCGCCGTCTGTAGTCTCTCATAGAAGATTTTGCTTTATTTCAAGTTTTTACCTATGATTGATCCTTTTTTTTTTTTGCATGCTAAGTTATGGAAAAGAGTTTATTCGGAGACTGCAACAGAAATCAACCTTCTTGCCGAGAACTGGAAGTATATTGTTGCCGGTGTTGTCTGCCAGGTCTTAATATATCCTTGAACCAATATTTGCTTCCATATTTGTGGAGCTCTATCTGAATTATCTATGATGTGAACTCGATGTTTATGTATGCTCAGGCTTAAGTTTGTGCTTTGCTTAGACACTCTCTCTCTTTGGTCTTGAGTAAAATAAAGTTGCTCCAAAATGCACATCCTTGTTAAATTGGCTATTGCTAAAACCATACAGACATTAGGTGGTTGAATGGAGCATTAGACTTGGAAATGCCTTCAATTTTCATTTTTGCCTTGTGTGTGTGATGTTAATTTCTTGTGAATTAAACTACAGTGGGTGATGATTTCATCCCTATTTTCTTTTTGAGAATTTAAATGGCAAGATAAAGGCTTAAGTTATTAATTGTGAAAAACTGATTTGCAATAATGACACCCTGTCCGCATATCACAATTGTCTTATTTTCTCTCTTCATCAATAGCATTCCCTGATTGTTGTTGCTAGTGACTCTCTTAGGTACATTGTTGTAAAATTTAAGTTAAATATCTTAGTTTTTCTGGTGCTTTCTTTTTTGGACTTTCTTCCCTGATGCTGTTTTGTTTTAGATGCCTAGAAGTGAAATCTATTTCTCCTTTCTGCAGTATATTCATGGTCTGGCTGCAAAAGGAGTTCATTATTTTCATCGGCCAGGGCCAATACTTCAGGATGCTGGGTTCTTTCTTCTTCCGGTGCGGATTACTTATATCAGTTTTCTTAACTGTTCTGAAAATTCAGTACTTATTGTTGGTCATTTGTGCTTATATTCAATCTCATGGCGGTTATAGGAGCTTGGGCAAGACAAAGCTTACATGAGTGAGAGTGTCTTCACCTTCATCTTTCTATCCTTTGTCATGGTGAGATTCTCCCTCTTTTGTAGTTTCCACTGATATCCAATGTGCCATTATTGTTGTGGTTAGCTTTTTGTATTGGCTTTTACCTACCTATATAGATACTTAGTCCTTGTTTGGTTCTCCCTCTTCCTGTCACTCTTTGAATATGCATGTATTGATTCAAGGAACTATGTTGTTCCAATGTTATGTATTGTTGAAGTATTGTTGAAAAACTGGTTGCTATATTATCATGAATCTGCTATGGGTGGATGATGGATCATTTGTAAATTTACATCCTGTGGATTGTATTAGTATTTTGTTTTCTAATTTCATCCTTTCCAGTTTTCTCATTTTGAGTTTTGTTCATGGTGCAGTGGACTTTCCATCCTTTCTTTTTCAAGAGCAAAAAGATCTACACAGTTCTAGTGTGGTGCAGGGTCCTGGCATTTTTATTTGTAAGTGCTTTCATTTGTTTTTTTTATTTTTTTCATGATGTGGGAATTATATGCTTGTTGTTACTGTCTGGGATAGTCATTACTAATAGACAATTTTGGAAGAATATGAACTTATACCTGTCACCTGACTGTATTTGTATGGTCTTGTGTGCACAAAAGCTGGCACACACTGAACCACATTTTTTAAGTGTTTATTTCTTGCTGTGTTTCGCCAAGTGTCAAAGAGATTTCAACCAACTTATATTTTGTTGCCACAGGCTTGTCAAATTCTCCGGATCATAACATTTTATTCTACTCAGCTTCCTGGTCCAAACTATCACTGCCGTGAGGTAAATAACCAACAGAACATCTTCTTATATCATTTTATTTTGCAGCCCTTATATGATAAAAACCCCTTTGTGTTATTATTTTACATAAATTTGTTTGTAATTGTGCACATTAAAATTCACCTCCTATAGGGTTCGAAGCTTGCCAGGCTGCCTCGTCCAGACAGTGTACTGGAAGTCTTATTAATTAATTGTAAGTTGCATTTGCCTTTGCTATCCTCTCCCCTTTGCTTACTGGTTCTGATTATTCCAACTCCGTGCTCATCTGACGTTTATGAATGTGCAGTCCCTCGGGGTGTGCTTTATGGTTGTGGGGATTTGATATTTTCGTCTCATATGATCTTCTCTCTAGTTTTTGTGCGAACATATCAGAAATATGGCATGCATAGGTAATTTCTCTTCTATTCATGGTAGATGCAGGTCTAAGTTGGGTAACACTTCTTTAATAATTGTTGTCATTGGTGTAGCTAATTTGTGTGAATGAAACTTCATCACTTATGTTTGGTTATTTAGATTTTAGTGGAATGAGAAAATTATTTAATTTAATACTGGCAAATAAGAGCATTTTAATTAAAAATGGTGCCAATTTCTTTTTTGTAACTTCAAACCGTTTCTACCCTTCAGATGATGTGTTTCTTTCTCTTGCTGAGTTACATTATCTTTGTAGATATTATTTTTAGGTTTTGTGAACAGGATGATGAAAACCAACAGGCTACTGTTGGAGAGGTTTATAAAAAAGTAAATAAAGAAAAAAAAAATGTGTATGGAATTAGAAGTTAGCAAAATCAAAAATGAAAAATTACAACTTGAGTTTGCATCCCCATCCCTGACCAATTGTCGCTTCCTAATTTTGTATTGCAGGTTCATAAAGCAGTGTGCTTGGTTAATTGTAGTAATTCAGAGCTTGTTGATTATTGCTTCCCGTAAACATTACACGGTCGACATCGTTGTGGCCTGGTACTAAGTGCATTTTAATTGCTGTTTCTGTGTTTGGATTTACACGCCTTAACAATTTTTTGATGCAATGCAATTATATGATTCTATTACAGGTATACCGTTAATTTGGTAGTGTTCTTTGTTGACCATAAATTGCCAGGTTAATATCTGAATTTTTTCCTACCTACATTATCTGTGATTCTCCCATTGTCTAGCACTGCTTTTTCTATTGTAATATTGACTTTCAGATCCCTTTATTCAGATATGCCTGACCGTAGTGGGGCGTTCTTCCTACCGTTGAGCAAGGACAGCAGGGCTAAAGAAGAGAATCACAAGCCCTTGAATGGGAATGCTGGTGATCCTGCGGATTGGGTATGAAAATCATTACATGCTCTTCTTCTGCTTTGATATTCAAGTTACATAAAGTTGTTCAGGTGCAAAGAATTGGTTTAGACTGTTTACTGCCGTGTCTGTTCAGAGGCCGAGAACTCAAGCCAATGGCAAGATTCTGGAAGACGGCAACACCATACATGCAGAGACGGTGATGAATGGTGTATAGATGATAATAGTTTGGTTCGTTGCCACTATTTAAGATGCTACAAGGACTGCCATTGCTACTTGTACAACTTTGGGTCTAAAGAGTCATTGCTCTGTTTCGGGAGAAGACTGGCAAACTTGTATTGTAGAAGATGGAATTCGGTGTTGGCGCTTTGCAACTTTTTAGGATATTGCTTCTAATGGTTGGCTGATGCCCCATTCATTTCATAAAGCACCTGCATGTAATGTTGGAATTTCAGTGTTTCTATATCTAATCATTTTTCCACCATATATTGCCCATTTCACTAGCATTCCTCGTGATTGTTGCTCTCTCTCTCTCTCTCTCTCTTGGGGTCAAATACTTTCCATCGTTTCAAAGAGTTCACTTTGATAAGTATCAAAAAATGGGTAACTTAAGTAATGAATTGTTAACCTAGACGTACTGAATTTGAATCTTGGCAATCATTTGGTTCGAGTCATGAGAGATTTATTCCTTATAAATACCCTAGTTCTAGCTTGAATGATTTATTTTTGACTTAAATTGAAAAAAAATTAATCGAAATACGTGCAAGTTAGTTTATACATTCCTGATTGTTGAACAACGAAAAATAAAACATGAGATGGCTGTTATTAACGGCACGACTATGGACTATGGAATATGGAGTGTCATGATCCATTCTCAGTCCTGGAATCAAGACCAAGGTTGAGTTGGAGCCTGAAGTCTAGGATAGGTTGGACCTTAAATTAATCCAAGTTTTGCATGCTGAACTCAATTTTTTAGGGGTGTCAATTTTACCACTCCCTCAGTTTAGAATGTGTAGAGTGAAGTTATGTAAAAGAGAATAATAAGCCTCGACGACTAGTAATAAAAAAATGGTTTTGAATCAAGCAATCTAATTCTAATATAATAAACTGACGAGGTTTTCCGTCTATAGTGGGAAAATCAAAGAAAGAAATTTTCAGCACAATACGTGAGAGGGTGTGGCAGAAAATACAAGGATGTGGATGGCAGAGTAAGTTGTTGTCAAAGGGTGGTAAGGAAGTTCTCATCAAAGCAGTGGCCCAAGCGGTTCCGACATACACTGTCATGCTTCAAACTACCTATATCTCTATGTAATGAATTACACAGCATTATGGCTAAATTTTGATGGGGTCACAAAGAAGATGAGAGGAAAATTCACTGGGTAAATTGGGAAAGACTTTGTCAATCTAAGAAATCGGGCGGCTTAGGGTTCAGGAATCTAAGAGATATTGACATTTCCTATCTGTGGACATCTTCCTACTGACACTCAGGTATGGCACTATACTCTTTCTACACATTATAATTTGCGTAAAAAGAACATTGTGGTTGAAGACTCCTGTTTTTTGTGTGGGTTTGGCCCTGAGTCTGTCAATCATATTTTTTTTGGCTGCCCATTTTCTTTGTAAGTCTAGAAAGATGCTGAATTCCAAATTCCATATCCTATGTCTATATCCTTCCAAGAATGGATTAAAGGAACGGTGGAAAAGGTTGATTCAAAGCAGTGTTATTTGATTATGACGATGGCATGGGCTATATGGTACAATGGGAATCAAGCCCGTCTGGAAAGAGTTCTATGAGCAATATTTGAATGCACAGGAATTACCTCCAGAGTTGGGCCATGGTGAAGCTGCTATTGCTAAAATGGAAAGCCCCAGAGAACCAGGAGTGTACAAAGTCAACTTTGATGGTGCCATTTTTACCTCAGATCGTGACTCCGGGATGGGAGGGGTGATCAGGGATTGCAATGGAGTTTTGATTGTTGCTTGTTGTTAAAAAAATAGGCTGTGTTCTAAATGCAGAGCTTGTGGAAGCAATGACTGCCTCTTATACTGTCCAGGTTGTTGTGGAGTTCGGTTTGAGACGTATTCTTCTGGAAGGAGACTCGAAATATGTGATCGAGGGGATTGCGAATACGAATAGCCAGACGAACTTATCAGCTATTGGAAATTTTATCGACCAAATCAAGACTACATCCCACACGTGTTGATTTCTCGGCTTGCTGGATTCGTCGGATTGACAATAATGCTGCTCATGGTCTTGCAAGACATGCTAGAATGTGTAATGGAGAAGGAATGCACCTAAATTTATTGTACCAATCCTTCAACAGCATGTAATTAATTATCATGATCAATGAAACCGATGGTGATCTTCTACGTAGTTTGAGTAGGGGCGTGCTATCTAGAAGTTTAGGAATTACTTGAATGTCCAATTAGAGTTCTTTAAGCTCTTGGGGCTTTAGTGGTGCAATTTGATGAACTGTGGATTTACTAATTCAAAAACTCAGCTAATTCACTATAATGGAGTCTCTTACTTCTGAGAGAGTTTTTTATTAATCAAATGGAAAGATTACACAAGGTAATAGTGTAGATAAATTGCTTGAATTACACTGCGAGGGATTTGACCCTATTGATAGCTTTCAGATGTCTTGCGTGATCCTTGTCACTTTCTCATAATTAACGTTTTTTTGTGTAATTAGCATAAATAGTGTTGAAATGGTTACGACTTATTTGCTAAAATATTAGACCGTTATCAATTACACGCAATCTTTTAATAGGTGTTAGCTGTCACTATTATCATGCCCACGAGAATCTTGTTGTTGGAGATCTCCAACCTACACATTCCGTATTACTTATCATGAGTTGCGTGGTTTAAACTTACACCCGTGCTCAACCTTTATTAATTTTCTAGAATCATCGAAAGCTATTGTATTCTTATCAAAAATAAAATCAACTGACAAGGTTTAACGGGACAATCCACAAAGGAATATCGTCAACAGACAAGAAGTGAAAAGGACTAGGATAGGATATTTTCTATGTCATCGATTTTTTGATGTTCACCTTTTTAAAGCGATGGGTTGTTCAACCATTTTGACGCTCAATCCACCATATTAGGAATAGAATTATTCCCATATCTAGAATGCACATGCACACCACGTTAAAATTTTAAACTTTTTTTTTTTTCAGTTCAGCCGTTAGATTTGTCTAAATCAATTTACACTCACTTTAATTAATTTTTTCTTTGATCCAGGCAAATTTAAGTCTTCCACACCAAAATTAAAATATTTGTGAAGAATAAATCTTTAACATCTTGTGTACGTTATTACTCTTCTCCAATTTGAACTTGTGTCATTACAACTACCTAATACTGTGTTTGGTTGGAAATAAAGTTGGATGGATGAAAAATAGTGGGTGGAAAATGGGGTGGATGGAAAGGCTTTCCACCATTTGATATCAAAAGAAAGAATAATGGAAAAAAACACCAGAGGGATAACTTTTCTCTTCTGTCCACAATTTGCTTTTCTCCCAAAAGTGGGAGGAAAATGAGAGGAAGGCAAAGACAATTTGGCTTTTTAAGGATTCTTTTACTTTTTTACTTGTTGTTATTAATTACTTGGAAATTAATATAAGGGTAGAATTGTAAATTGAGCATGCATATTTTTTCTTTCCTTTCCTTTTTCATCTAATACCAAACTATGAAAAATATATTCATCCTACTTTTCATTCCTCCTAGCAAACAAAAAAGAAGAAAAATAACTTTTTTTCCTTCAAGAATAAAAAATTTATCCTTTTTACTTTTTTTCCTTCCTATTTTTCATCCTTTGTACTAAACGGACCATAAAAGCACATTCCATCTCTACTAAAATGTTAAATATACTCTTCTCACTTCCTTATTTATGATTCTTTCTGCCCCTAAGTCACCCTCAAACTCCTCAATCTGCACCACCAAAGCCACCACCCAAATACTTCACCATCAAGTCAGCCCTAAGCCCAAACTATATCCCCTCACACACCATCAACCAGCTCACCCAATACACACTGTCAGGCCTATCAACAAATTGGATTTAGATTAAATTTTGATTAATTCAAATTCAAAAGTCTATCCAAATTCAATTCAATAATCTAAAAGATTTTATTTTCATGATTCATATTCAAATCCGTTAATAATTTAAAATCTAATCCAAAAATCCAATCCAATATAAATAACTTAATTAACTAAATTTTAAGAAATTATAACTATGTTTCAACTAATTTTTTTTTAAATAATCACTTAATTTCTTTAATATTTATATAAAAATATACAAACAATTCAAATCGGATCATAATTAGATCAATTATAATATATCTAAATTTGAATCCGTGAAATATAAAACATTGAATCCAAATTCAGATTTGAGTTATCAGTAAATAAAAATATTAACCTATATCCAGCTAATTAAAATCGAATTCGAATTTAAATCAAAAACCAATCAATTGACAAGCCTAATCACCACCCAAATTGATCACCGTCTCGCTCCTCATTTCTTATAAGTAATTCTATATTAAGAAAGACTATTTTAGACCTAATCTAAGAACTTAATCAACTACGGTTGTTGAAAAATGAGAATTTTTTAATCACCTTTCTCTTTTCGCGCCTTTTTCTTTTTGATAAACATATCAAGAACAATACATAAAATTATCGTCTTTCTTGTCATTACAAGACCTGCAATTGTTAAATCTTCTTTCCTTTTTCCCACTTTTTCTTTTCGCGATTCCATTTTGGCACAAGAACTCTTTCAAAGGAGTTCATGCTGGGATGTTGAAGTGAAAGAGCCAAGATATAACAAAAGCAAATACCATGCAAGCAAGGAGGAAATTTAGGAAGCGGTGACCATTAAAGCAGCTTCGGGTCTCTGTGGGAGTCGATACTGGTGCGGAGGCTGCGTTTGTTGCCACAGCAGTGGTTTCATTCACCTGCTGTTGTGGTTCAATATCATTTATGCTGACGACATTACTTGCAATTGAATTACAAATTTCGCAAGTCCTGCAACGATGAGAAACATGGAAATCAACATAAAAGTAGAGAAACTACAAGAAAATATAGGAGTAAGTTTGGAAGAAATTGAATAAAAGAGAGAGAGAAACAAAAGGAACCAATTCCAGGAGACGTCTGTGGGTGAGTCTAACTGGAAATGGTACTACAAAGCATATTTTGCTCCTGTTCACATTTATTTGATTTGTAAAACACTTATTTTTGTTCAGACAGTGAGATGGAGAATGGATTAGACAAAGAGACTTTCATTTCCAGTCGCCTTGCCCCTGGGAACGATTAACCCGTGAAGGAAAATCCTCAGTGACTCTGGCTGATGAAATCATCTATTGACATTACCATAATGCAACCTCGGAGAGAGACAGAGAGAGAGAGAGAGTAGCAAACAATGTTACTAAAATGGGTAAGTAATAGTCCAAAACAGATTATAGACCAACCACAAACCTATCTGTACAGTTGAACTACTACCACAACAAAAAGGTTAAGGTTATCCATGGAGAGGGGCATAGGAAGAACCCAAGTTAAAGAAATATGCAGTTTCGATGGCAGATATATTTTTATTAACAAATAATCTATAAGGGATTTAGTCGTATGCATTCATTGTAACATACAGAGTCTGGAATTTCTAGCACAGATATTGAATTAAAACCAACAGATCAGAACACACGCATTTTGTTTTCACAAATATCATTATGAAATATAACCTCAAATAACCATATATTAAGGTTTCAAAACAGAATTCTGCCCACACTTCTCATGGTTTCTATTTTTCTACATTCACTTAGTGATCATAGTTTGATGAGACTAGAGCATCCTTGGGTTAAGTCTCTGTGTCGTTCTTTAGCCAAATAGATAAAACCTTCAAGTTCCAAGCCAGGGGACGATGCTTTACTTTTTTCTTCTTTCGGGAGAAGTACAGTAGCAGATACATTCTAGATAATTCCTCAAAAGTTTTAGCTTTGAAATACAAATGTTCAGAAGGAAATAGTCAAAAAGTGATTCATCAAGACTTCAAGAGTTCCCTGTATTGTTTCACAACAACAAAGACTTCCATTTTCAGTTCTTTCAAAGTTGATTTTGCCATTGCAGACACCTAGATGAACTGTCTTGTACAATGATGCAAATTAAAAACAACCAATAAAGTAAAATAACTGAATTTAAATCTCTATGAAACTAATATTTAGCTTGAGAACATCTCAATAACATAGATGAGAAACATAAGTTGGGTTAAATTACAGAAAGAAAGCTCATGTTAGCAGTTCATGACAGACAACAAAAGATGCAAGATGCCAGTTAGAAGCTCAAACAGTATTGATTTTATCATATTGTCAAGAAAAGAAAAGACAGCTAGAACATCCGTGATCTGTGTAACCGATTATGATCATGATCTTGATTAAGTTCATACTCTCGCTTTCTCAGCCTAATATGGTGCCCTCTGGTGCAAAAAAATTCTTCAAGAGATGACATAACAATTGACACAGGGAGATTTTGCCAACAAACCATATCAACCATGGTCCATGGTGGTGTAGACGGTAGACTTATGACGGATACTGGTGCAAATGACAAATGAAAGTATGCACACACAATATGTCAACTTTCAAAAGATCCACAGCAAGTATCAGAACAATTATACTGTTAGATTGGTGTCGAATATTGTATAAAATTTTAAACCTTGATCACATATACATAAAAAGCTTTTCTTTTGTTTGGTGAAGTATGCATTAGAAGTTAGCTATCACTAAATACATGGAATAATAAGAAACGCTGAGATCTATGGGCTTGTTTGGCGAGCAACCCAAATGGACTTCCCACGGATGCAAGCACTTCTCCGGCTCTACTGTGTGTTTGGTGCACCAAAAAATAGTTGACTTTTCAAAAAGTACATCTCCCAAATGCCCATCTATAGAAGCCTCAGAGACACTTCTCAAAACCGGCCTTTAATCACTTCTCGCGAAGAGGGTTTTCATCATTAAGGTATTAAGATGGAATTCCATATTGACCTTTATTTTTTAAGCCGTTCTCTATTTTGACCCAATAACACAAACAATTTACATACCCCCAGTCTATAAATACTGACACCAAGAAGACACAGAAAATTCCATCTAAGTTGGGGAGAGACAAAAAACTTTTCATCTAGGTTGTCAAGAAGCCTAAAATATTAGGGTCAAATTACGATTCCATTAAAAAAAAATCTTCTTCGTGTAAAATTTTTTTATGTTAACTACAAATTAATCAAATCAAAATTTACAGTTTTCGAATAACTTCGATATGATATCTACACTTTTTTTGGTACAGTAGACTTATCTCGAATATCATTATATGTGTGAGGCTTTGGTGATGAAGGTGAACACTTTAAGTTTTGCAATCCGCCATGATTAATATATATGTTCATCGCCTGATTTTTTATTTCACGTAAGAAATATATTATGTTATGGTATCAAAAATTAATTTGTTAATATGTTTTTAATTTCACAAAAGTGATACATATTAAACTTTATTTACTAATAACTTAAATGCAAAAATTATATTTTAGTATCAAGATTAAGGGTTTGCATTGTAAAGTCGGTGTAATTTTGTACTTAATAAGATTTTGACACCAAACATATTTTTATGGATATATATAATTTTTAATTTAAAAGCACTTTTAAAACAAACCTTTACCCCTAAATCAAAAGCATATGATAGTTTATGTCAAAAAATGAACTGAACAATTCAATAAATACTATACTCTCCAGTCTCCCTACATCTAAAATATTAGTCAAAATTTCGAACTTTATTGATAATTGACAATAAAATAACTTCATTCATTTTACCTTGCATTGCTTATTTTGTACTTCAATAACAAAACAAAGAATCGCTGAAATCTTTTCCAAGCTCATTTAGACTTTTCAACGATTAGGTTCTTTATTTGTTAGAAGGTATGTGTTTATTAGGTATAATAAAAAAATTAGTATTTTTTATTAACTTCTCACTACCGACTACCAAGAACTCTTGTGTTAATATTATTAAGATTTTTTCTCTAGAATTCTTTGATTATTTTATTAGGTTACGGGCAACAATTAAAAAAAAAAGAGGTATTATTTTATTAGTATCTCATTTATCAAATGGTCATTGCATTACATGGAGAATATTTTATAGAGTCATTATAGGTGTAAAGCACTAAAAATAGGGGCAAAAATTATCTAAGGGGCCAATGCAATACAAAAGTGATGCTCAATACTGTAGACATATGTGTGTAGGGGTTCTTGAGCATGGAGGAGGGGGACCATGGCCCCATGCTAATGCTAGTTCTGTCTCTGGACATGAACATATGTACACAGCTAAAATCTCCACTTTTATAAAGAAGAAGGAATCTCAAAGATGACATTGAAAAATTGCTTTAATCTGAAAAAGGACAGAACAGTTCTGAAGGAATCGTCGGTGTGATTGGATTTATGAGCAATCCTCCCAACTGCTTTACTCTTTTGCTTTACTTTCTCCTTCATCTTCTTTAATTAACACTGTCTTCTTTCATTATTCATCCCACTAAACAAAATTATGGTATCTCATCCTCCTAAAACAGAGCAACCTTCTACGTTACACTTGAGAAAGTTATTATTCTCATAAATTAAATGGTAATTAATAATTCCGAACACCACAACATAATAATCATCCCAATCATATAGAAGGATATAGAGAAAAAAACACAAATGTTTAGAGCTAATCAGGAGACAAATGACCTACAAAAAGAAGAATTGCAGTTAACCACATAATGTGAGGATCTTGGCAACTTCATATGTCAGAGGTCGAATCTTGACAATCTCTGGACGAGGCATAAATCTCTTATTAATATCCTAGTTTCGGTGCGGATGATCTAACTTGGAGGAGGATCTGACCGGACATCCCTAATAAAAAAAAAAATCCTAACTTGCCTAATAATGAGACTTTCCAAATGGGTATCTAAAATTTATCAAAAGATATAAAATTTCACAGATAATTTCAAGTAATTATAGCAACAGAGAAAATTTAGGAATTTGGTAACTCACTTATTTCCCTTAATCTTGAACCAAGCCTCAGCGCAATGCCTATGAGCAGCAGCCAAGTCATTCTTACAAGAACAACCCAGTTCAATGGCTATCCCAGCCTCAGGACTAGTACTCACCAAACTCAGATGACAGATTCTACAATCTCTCTCTTCTTTCCCCAAATGGACCTTAATTTCACTAAACCCATTTTCGATATCCACCGAGCAATCAGAGTCGGCCACCGATGAAACTCTCCGAGAACCCGAAACTTCACAAATCTCAGGTTCAGAGGCGCAAGCAAAACTATAGTCATCGTAAGAGCCATCAGCAGTGGAGTAAAACTGAGAATAACAAGAACCCTCGTCTGCGTCGGAGAAGCAGAGGCTACCATCGTCGCCCTCGTTGGAGCTACGGCGGTGACCACCGCATTCTAAATCGATGTCGGACATTTCAAAACTCGCCATTTGTTGAAACCAGAACCAAAAGTTGCAACTCAAGTAAAAACAGAGTAAGAAAAACCTCCAAACTTGAAATTCTTATAGGCTTGAAGGATTAACCATAGATTTCTAATCTGTCAATACATGATGAGCTAAAAATATAGGAATTTGAATACGTAGTTTATGGATTAGGTGACCCCTTTAACTCCCCACTTCTATCATTTGGCAAAAAATAAGAGAGAGAGAGGCTAGTGTTTGTGAAATGCTGAGAAAAGAGGAGGATTTAAAGAGGAAAAAAACAAGAGACTATGGAAAAGAAAGACAGAGAGAGTCATGGTTTTGGTGGTAGAGTTTTTGGAGTGGGAGAGACGGTGGAAAAGAGTAGAGAGAAAAGGTAGGTCGAGTGGGGGAAGGGGAGTTGCGCAGGAACCCAGAGCAGCGAGAGAGATGAATCCAATTAATAAAGTCGGGGTGATCGGTTGGAGGGTTTTGTACGTACGTCAGCAATTAATATTGGCCGTCAGATGGTACAAGATTTAAGGAAGATCGACGGTGGAATAGGACGGAATATGTATGCCCGGGTAATTTGGAGTAACTATTTTTTGAACCCAAAAATTTAATTTAATTTATTGAATTTATGTTGATAATGCACAAAATGTATTTATGCACCCCCTATCAAGTATTAAATACATAATAAATTATGACAGTCAACACAAGTAAAATGATTCGGTCAAAGTGACCTACTCCACTCTAAAGAGCTGGGATGACATGAGTATTTTATTGTTCAAAGAGTATAAAGCGCTCACATGTGAAAGATGTCCCCCTTGTATAGGCAGGGCTTATAATTTATAGACATCTCCTAATAGATTAAAGTGTCTTTTCTTATATCAGGTGAAGTATTTCGGTGGAGGTGGGGTTCTTCTCGTAACAAACGAGACAATTTTGTCGAGGAGATGACATGCGCGTCTTAAGGAGATTTCCTTACATGTCAGTTGTGGATTGAGTCTCTTGCCATGATATAGCTGACCTGACTCTCTCAAGATGACATGACTGGCCTGACCTTCCTCCTTTCTTGGTGGGTCTGACATGTGTCCCTCTGAGCTAGACCTGGTCTGTAATTTTAGGCTTGGTCTATAATTTTGGACCTGGTCTGGATGGGGCCCATCATTTGCCCTATGCCCCAAGCCCAATGAGATTTGGGGGAGAGGACATTAGCTAGAAATCTTGTTTGTGTCCTCTTTTAGTAGTTGAACTTTGATAAGGGAGAGGTAGACACAACAGGGTTGTAGAAGAGGAGTTGTGGGTGCCTCACGAGAGAGTTGCACCTCTAGAGGCCAAGTTTTTGAAAACTGAGGCTACTTACGTGAGAGTAGAGATAGAATTAGGGCGAGCTTTTGTCGACTTACAAGAGAACCGCTGAGTTGGAGACTGAGACTGCCTACATGAGAGTAGAGACAGAGTGAGGCCGAGTTTCTAACGCCTCATAAAACAGTCGCTGAGCTGGAGACTAAAACTACTTGTATGGATGACAAGGGGGCACGAACGCTAGGTATGCGAGAGTTGGCGCTGCGTGTTGCAGGCTAAGGCGCTGGGCTCTACGGGAGAGGGCGGAGGTGATAGCACTGGGCATCGCGGGTAAGGGTGCTAGCCCAGGACACCACAGACAAAGGTGAGGATGCTTGTACTGGGTGCTGCCGACAAATATGAGGGTGCTAGGCACTGTCAACGAGGTCACTGGGCACCATGGGCAAGGACGCTAGTTGTTGATGCTATGCATTGGGCACCTAGCTGGTGGTTAGTGATGGGTGCTAGTGGAGTATTAGCAAAGCATGAAGAAGTGACAAAACTTTGAACGACTATAACTTTGTGATCGATTATCTTTTTGAGGTGAATTTTTTTTTAAATCTAGGTGTTTTTTCAAGATGTACCAGAATTAAACTGTTTATGGTGGTTTGGGCATAGAATTTTCCTAAAAAATGCTTGTTTTTCACTGAATTTGAATTTCAACCACAAATTAGTGAAGAAGTAAAATTTTCACGTGTCTACTTTTTGTATTCCCCTCTACATGAGGATTCAACTTGCCTAGCTTTGGTGACATCCTTAGCGTTCATGTATTTATGAGCTTTTGATAATAATTCTAGCATGTTCTTTGATAGATGCTTCAAAACTGAAAGTATAAAACTAGATGAGTGTAGGCCTTCTATGAAGACTGTCATGACAACTTTGTCATCTAGTTCTTCAATCTAGAAGACTTCCTTGTTAAAACAAGTGAGGTATTTCTTAGGTTTCATCTCGATCCTACTTGATACTAAACAGCTAGGTGGTAGACTTTTAGTGTCGGCATCAACCAATATAGTGTGAGACAAAAGACTTGCTTAATTCAGTGAAAGAGTCAATGGAAGTCAGGGTAAGCTTGGCTAACCACTGCTAAGCAAATCCATTGAGCGTGATAGGAAAAATCCTACAAATGATCTTGTCTGATATGTTGTACAGCTACATCAGGAATTCGTAGGTGTCAAGGTGGTCTCGTGGTTCTTTAGAGCCATCAAAAGCTTCCACAATTGGCATCTTAAACTTTGGGGGGGAGGGAAGAGGGTAGTTTGCCACATCAACTACAAAGGGCTTGTCAATATGCTTCACAAGGTACCCAACCGTTTCAGGCCCTTGCGCCTTCATGGGGTTGAAGACATCGCCCGAGTTGGTTCTACACTTATTTGATTTTTTTAATCCCAATGGTTGGGGGAATGGTCGTTGTAGTGGCTCTCATGGTCCACATATTGATTTTTCCCCTCGCCTTCTTGGAAAAGAGGGTCACTAGCATGGGAGAACGAAGCATACAAACGTGGAGGGGAGTTGGGGGTGCCTTGGCACTAAGGAGGGGGCTCTGATGCTACAATGGGGCACTTTGGCGTTGCCGGGGGGCATCTTGCTTGGCACTAGTACCTTGGCGCCCTGGGCGAGGTACCTGGAGTGCTTCCTCTCCTAAGTACTAGGCCAAGACTCCTTGAGGGTGTCCAACAAGCATTAACTAGAGGATCTGTTGATTTTAGTTTACCAACAACTATATTATCTCCAGTAGTTGTTGTCCGGCTACAGGGTTTGCCACAACAACGAGGTTTGTTGGCAGGGGGAGGGATCTCATCACGACATAGTGGATCATTGCCTTCCCCTTGTTGATTCATGGATCTAATTATAATAGCGCTATAAAATGGAAAAAGAATAGGGAAAAAATTGAACGACGGTAGAGTGAAAACTTAGTCATTTCCCACATACAATACTAAATTGATGATGTACAAAATGTGTTTATGCACAACCTGTCAAGTATTAAATGCAATAACAAATGATAAGAGTCAACACAACTAAAATATAATTTAAGTAGTTTCGTCAAGATGACATATTGTACTATGAAGGGTTAGGATAGCTTGAGTATTTGATTGCTGAATGGGTGTAGAGTGCTCAGATGTGAGTGAGATGGGAGAGATACCCCCTTGTGTAGGTAGGACTTACAATTTATAAGCACCTCCTAATAGATTGAGGTGCCTTTCTCCTATCAAGTGAGATAGGAGACGTCTTTCTCATATTAGGTGAGGTAGTTCGGTGGAGGTGGCGCCCTTCTCATAACATGCAAGACAATTTCGTGAAGGTGGTGACATGTGCATCTCAAGGAGATCTCCTCGCATGTCAGTTCTAGTCTTTCTTCATGATGCGGTTGACTTGACTCTTTCTAGATGGCACGACTTACCCAATCTAGCTTCCTTTCTCCTATAATGGGCTTGACCTACATCATTCTGAGATGGTTCTGGTTTATAATTTTGGGTCTAATTTGGGTCAGGCCCATCAAATGTTGTGCCACTTGATATAATTTTAATATTGTTTACACTCAAATATGAAATAAATCCAAGAGTGTCACATGATAAGATCCAACGATTAGAGGTGAGTCAGAAAGAGTCTAAATAAGACATGATAGTGAAAGGAATATAATTTCATAGATCTCAAAAAACGAAGATGTGTGATAGACATGACATTATGAGTCATCAGTTATTAATGGTTAGGTGCACGATTGAAGATGTTAGAGAATTGTAGCAAAAAGAATGTTAAAGAAAGTGGTCAAGATTAGACTGAAAAAGATAACTCCAAAACGATCTCTCGATCAAAAAATATATACACATAGCTTGCCTCTATCTTGCTTACTTTATTTCTTTCATTTTTCTGTACTATGTAACCATTACTCTAGTGATTTTTTTTTTTTTTTTTGGGGGGGGGGGGGGGGGGGTTAGCTGAGTATAATAGTGTCCACATTATTTTTTGTTGTTTGTTTTATTGTTCTTTTCAATTCCAGTACTTTTCTCAAACTCTAGTTCGTTAAGTTGCTTTAGTGGAAATTGTTTAAATCCTTAATCTTCAAGACATAACAAAAAGAGTTTACAAGTAATTTTACAATCCATTATCATCGTCTGAATAGTCACGATTTTAGAATATCACGTTAATTCTCTTAAGTCGATTCGATAAGTGTTTAGATCTTAAGTACATTCAGAAATCGACAAGGTCGCAATCCAAAATCCACCAAACAAATATTATTTAATTTTATAAACTATCACATCATTAAATCAAAAAATTAAGATAAATTATAAATCACAATAGCAATACTCTACTTGGGAAACATGATCATGCACAAGGATGTCGATCTTTTTTAGTGACTTATTCAATTTTTCGTTTGGACTTATAATGTATTTAAATTTTATTTTAATAGTAATATACGAAATTGATTATAGTGATCAATCATTGCATTGCATGTTAATAAAAAAAAAAAAGGAAAGAAAAAGAAATGGCGTTACGTGAAAAGAAAGTTCATCGTAATGCGCACGAAGTTTTCATGTATTTTCACTCAGCCAACGCGTTTTCGTTAGAAACTTTGAAGTCTTCGAGGAGTTGCTTAATTGCATTGACCAAGACTTTTGGCTGTCTTGAATTAGATTATTGTTTACATCTTTTAGGAAAAAAATAGTGTAAATTTCGATGACAATTTT